CTGTGGGTATTTGTCTATTTTACAGTGTTTGCATTAAAGTCAAGCAGAACTATTAGCAAATTTTTATAGCAAATCAAGAGGCTTATTTTGTCCTTAATAAACAACTATTTGTTACCTTGAGTAATACCTTACTACAGCATATAGGCTCAGGGTGTGCTGCAGGAAAGGAATGGAATTATTGCACATTTGTGAAATTCAAACTTCATTATTCAAGGTGGGCACCAATAACTGCAAGAAGCAAAGGATGACTTTTAAATGACCAAACTAGTCAACAGCTGTATAGATGAGATTAAGTTTAATGAATTTACTTCTTGATAATTCCAAATCATACACTATATTTGGGAGTAAGACCCATTTGGCCCATTATGGAGTGTGTAGACTAAAAGATTTTGAAAATGAATTTCATTAATTTGAAAGAGGGTTATTTTTACAGTGCACAGGTTCACTTACCTCTAGATACAATGAACCAAAATTAAAAACACAGACCCGTAAGCTTACACTGTGGAGGACATCCTGGTATTTAGAACTTTTCTACTTGTCTCTGAAAGTTAAGAAAACCATACCCCAATTAGGCGAGTATTTGGTTATTCGATTTTTCAAAGTGTATATATTATACATGAGGCATAATGTACACATTTAGGAAGTCTGAAGTCATACCTCCATAGCGATTTTAGGAGATAGAATTTTTTCCCAATACAAATTATAAAAGTAGCTGAACAGGTATTTTTCTTATCCATCTATGGTTATTATTATTTCAATTAAATGTATGTGTGGCCTAATCTACTTCTATTTTTACATCTTGGTTTATTTAATTTCTCAGTAGCAGGTAAATGTTAAAGTATCACTCCTTTTGGGAGATCAAAACAAAAGCCCAATCTCCTAGAAATTATTATACAGGAATAAATGAAGCACTGACAGTACAACTCTTCCATCCTAACAGAAGAAAAAAAAAAAAACTACATAAACAGTAAATTACTTGAGGTCTATTCTTCATTTATTCTACGCATTTATATTACGTACCTATTATGGGGTCAGGTACTCTTCTGCATTCTGGGGACCTAGGAGTGAAAAACAACAACAACAAAAATTCCTGCCTTAAGGGACTTATATTCTAGTGGGGAAGGACAGAAACAAGTAGGCAAAAAATAAACAAGATAATCAGGTTCTGATAAGTGCCCTGAAGGAAATGAACAGGACCATATATAACTGATAACAAGGATAAGATGGGGAACAACTTTAACTCAGAGAAGGTCCTGCTAAGGAATTGACAGCTGAGAAGCCATTCAGGGGAGAACTGAAGAAAACATATTCCAGGCACAGTCTGAGATAAGAAAGAACTTGGTATAACGGAGGAACACAGGGAGGCCAGTGTGGCTGTCAGGTACTGAGGAGGGGAATTTGGAAAGGGAAGCAGGCGTGATAATGAAGGGCCTTGGAGGCCAGCATAGGGAAAGCCAGGAAAGATTTAAGTAGGAATGATATAGTCTCCATATTTTTAAGCTCACTCACGTGGCTGTGGAGAACCAACTGCAGAGGCAAGAATGGGAAGGGAACAGTGGGTCAGCACAGTAATCCAGCTAAGCGCAAAGGAGGCTCAGTCTGTTAGCGGTGGGAACACAGAACCAACGTGACTGGCTGGTAGATTAGATATGGAGGGGAAGAGAGGAGCCAAGAATAAACCTTAAGCCTTTGGCTTGAGCAATTGAGTAAACTTTCTTCTATTTACTAAGGTGGGAAAAACATTTACTCTCCCACCTCAGACAACTTAAAAAAAAAAAAAAGGAAAAATATATATGAAAAAATGGGTGTTAGATGTTGGACAACAGGCAGTAAAAGATAGTGGAATTCAATGAGGTGAGCCCCATGTTTGCCCCAGATTACTTAGAGGCAGTTTCTAGGCTGTGGTGTAGGAAGGAGGAATCCAAACTGAACCAAGCAGCCTTGCTGAGTTGAGGTGAGAGTTAAGAATTTGGGGCGGCCAGGACAGCTAGAATTGGCAGGCAGAGTACCAGAGAGAAGACGGACAGCTGCACAGAGAGGAGAGAGCTCCAATAATGTGCAGAGGTTTCCTTTCAAGTTTTCACGTGAGTATTGATCAGCACAAGGAAATACTCAACAGGGAAAGAACCACCAAAAAGAAGCAGGCCAAAACTTCTTGAGCTGGGAAGAGTTCATGTTCCTACAGTTAAACCGGAAAAACCTCATCATGAACAGGGTATCAGGTAGAGTACTCAGGAGGATTTTGCTTCAGTTGTGGAGAAAAGTAGCACCAGAGTAAAGGCTGTTCTGGCCCACCTAACAAAGCTTAAAAGCAAGCCTTGAAATGATCAAACTCTTGTCAAGTATCTTAACTGCATTCTAAAACAAAGCTCAAGAATATTTAAAAGAATACACACACACGAAAACCCAACACCCAACAATGTAAAATTCACATCCATTAAGAAATTACTAGGCATGTAAAGAAGCAGGAAAATATGACCCAAAATGAGGAGAAAAATAAACCAACAAAAACAAACCCCAAAATAACACAGATGATAGCTGTTATAATGTTCTTATTTACTATTTCTATTATAAATATTATGAAAACAAGATAGAGAAAAGAAACAGCATGTTAAAGAGAGACATGAGGATACAAAAAAATGAAAAAGCAATATCAAAATTCTGTAGGCAAAATACATTGGGTAGGATTAACAGCAAATTAGTGCAGAATAGGTTAGTGAACTTGAGGCACAGCAATAGAAATAGTTGTCCCAGTCTTCTGTCTTTAATAGAAATTAAAAACAGAAGACTGAGACAATGTACAGAACATGAGTAAGGTGTGGGACAACTTTAAGCAGCCTAATAAACATGTGGAGTCTCAGGAGGTGGGAGACTGGGGTATAGAAAACTTATTTTAAGAAATAACAGTCAGAAGTTTTCCAAATTTGATGAAAACTAAACATCCAGAGACCCAGTAAGTGCAACAAATCCCAAGCACACACACAAATAATGACAACAACTACACCAATGCACATTATAACTAAATAGCACAAATTCAGTGAAAAAGGTAAAAACCTTAAAAGCAGCCAGAGTTAAAAAAAAACACAAAAAACATACAGAAGAACGAAGATGACAATGACATCAGACTTCTTGTCAGAAGCAATGCAATCCAGGAGGCAGTAGAGCAGCAACATCTTGAAAACTAGAATTTTATGCCCAGAAAAAACATCTTTCAAACATAGAGATTCAAAAATCTTTCTCAACAAGGTAGGCCTATACACCTTGCTAAAAAGATTTTGGATTTTTACCTTCAAAGTAATACTAAGCCATTAATAGATTCTAAACGATGAGACTGAGACTTGCATTTCAGAAAAGACACATTAGCTTTTGAGATGAATAGGTGGGCATGGGGGAGAGGGGCAGAAAAACAGAATCTTGTTCAAAAACAAAGGATGTTGACTTAGATGAGGGTGGTGAAAGTGGGGATGGAGAAGAAAGGACTGATTAGAAAAATATCTAGAAGATAATTACTCACAGACTTGATGACTGGATGTGAGGTATGAGAAAGGCAAGAGTGAAAAATGATTCCCAAGTTTCTGACATGAGCAACTACCCATACAGTTAATTTTACCCACCTGAAAAATCATTTAAACCAATTATACACCATCAAAACTATAACCCAAACAACTCACAGGAGTAAACTATTCTGAATACTGCATTTACGCTAAAGAATTCACTGTGTAAAAAATTCAAATACAAATAGAACAGTGTTTTTTTTTTTGTAGGAGAAAAAGATAAAGCTTTCTTCATCCGAAATCAGCACTGAGCAGTTCAATCCTGGATTTGAGATAGCTGCTATTGTTCCTTATGGAAAACAGTTAAAGCATGATTTCTATGAGCCATCTGCTGAGATACTGAAGTGCCTTTACAGATCACTTCCTTCCAAAGGTAAATCACTATAATGGGGTTTTACTTTTTAAAAAGAATTTTAACTATCACGCAGTATTTGGAATGGCTGCAATTTTTGGTAATCCACTTCTAGCTCAGCAATCTTGCCCCCTAGGTTTCCATCTTCACAGTTAGGAATCTATCAGCAAAAGATTTTTAAAGGGTTTTAACAGTAATTACAAATGTTTACTGTGGATTTATTAAGGGCTACTTTATGCCATGTTAAGTACCTTACATGATAATCTCATTTAACCTTAACAACACTATTAGGTAGTTATTATCCTTATTAAACAGGTAAAGAAATTGAGATGCAAAAATGTTAAGTAACTTGCCTTAGACTATGAAGCTAATAAGTAGCAGAGCCAAGGATATGAATCCAGAAAGGTCTGACCTCAATTCCTGGACTTAAGAAATTCATCTTTAAACCTCAAAACTCTTCCTGCATATTAGGATATGTGTAAATGATACACTGATTTTGCATGTACATACTTCACATGTAATAACTAAGTTTCCTAATTATTTTCCATTTAAAAATTCACAAAATCTTGTCATTAAAATGTGGGCTTTCAATTTGCCTCGAGAGATTCTTCAAAGTGGGTAACTTAATGAGCAGGAATTAAATGTAGACTATTAGAGTTTTCATTAACATATGTATACGCATGTATGTGCAATAGGGGATACTGATAAGAGAATCCAAGTCATCAGTGGCATAGCTTGGCTCAGTACAGACACCGAGGACATGAGATTATACTGAGGGTTAAATACATTGAGTCTCACAACAGATAAACTATGAACGCTTCACTTAGTAGTGTGATGGGAAACATAGCTCAGATGATTTAAATGGAAAACATGTTTTATGGTGGACACGGATGAGTGTGCATAGACTTAAATTTTTCATGCTGAATTACATGCCATATTACATGCATGACTCTTTCACCAACAACTATACAGTTATTAGGATTAACTTCAAAATTATACACTAATTAAAATTTTCTCCATAGTTTAACAGAAAATCACAGTTTAAAAGGTTATTTTTTTCTTTCAACAACAACAAAAAAGCCTAGAAACTGAAATTCTCCAATAAAGTTCTTTTATTCAGGCTCAACCTAAAATAGTTTAAACTTGATCTCTCTTTGCTAGAGAAATGAAATCTCCAATTCTATAGACTGTAATAGAAAAGTACCGAATTTGCATATTTCCAATAAAGGATTTTGCTTCATGCTTTGGGCATCTGCCATAGTTACCCAAAAGACTATTTCCAATAAATATAACTGTCACAGCACTGAAATGCCCAGAATAAATTTCCTAACTTAAAAAGTTGTCCTTAAGTTACTATAACACAACAGTCTTCAGTCTCCTGACTATTCATACTATTTGAAAACCATGAAAATACAGGTTTTTAGCATGCACACCCAGATGGAAAAGGCTCTGTTCCTCTGAAAACACCATTCGTTAGATTAGGTAGAGCTGAGGGCACCTCTCCGTGTGAACAAGCAGCTGGGTGTCTCGTGGGTTTGCAGTCATCTCTTTCCTTAATGGGTTAAGCACTGATGCCAGCAAGGGGAGAAAGTCCGGGCACATGACTCAGCTTATGATTTAATTTTCCACAGCTAAGAAAAGAAAATCACCAAAATAGTTAGTTTTATGACAAATAGGTGGGGTTGATAGGTACACTTACATGTAAACCAAGAACCGTTTACATAAGAAAAAAGTACCAGCTGTGACAACAGCAACCATAGAACATCATAGAGAAAAAAACCGTTAACAATTTCCAGGATCAAAAAAGATATACTGCAGTTCACGGGTTTTTGGTTTTCATTCATTCTGCCTCTGTACATTTCCCTAGATCAGAGGCCAACCCAGCCCACGCTATTAAATTGACATGAGATTCAAACTTGATTTTTTTGTTCCATTCAAGAGCACGATCTATTGTACTTGCATAAAATGAGAAAACCTAAGCTGAATGTCTATTTCAAATGTCTATTTCTCTACCTCAAGAGTTATTTCCATGCCAGTCCCTCCCTCCCTCCTTCCACCCTGCCTCTCTCGCTCTCTCTCTCGCTCTCTCTCTCTCTCTCTCTCACACACACACACACACACACACACACACACAGTGGGAAAAACAAAGATTACTATATACAATAAGTTTTAAGACTAAGGCAGATGCTACAGGGTGATAATCACACTTACTCTTATATTAAATCCGAGAAGATCACTTATAACACCTGAGACAGCAGAAAGGATAACTACTCGTGTGATATTGTAGATCAAGGGGTTCATTGTCAGTCCATAGAGTCTAAATGGTGTGTCCAGCTCCTACAAAAACATGAAAGAACTGAGATGAAATACATGGTTTCATAATAGCCACCAGTGATTTCTCGAGTGTTTTTTTCAGTCTTGGGAGAGGATGATTGCTTAAAACCTCTTCCCTTAATGTTCAATAGCTACCTTCAAAAAAACTGTAATGAGGGGAAGCGGGGGAAGGATAAATTTGGAATTTGGGATTAACAGATACAGACTATTGTATATAAAATAAACAACAAGGACCTACTGTATTGTACAGGGAACTATGTTCAATATCTTGTAATAACCTATAATGGAAAAGAATCTGAATATATATATCACTTTGCCGCACACCAGAAACATTGTAAATCAACTATACTTCAATTAAAAATAATAATTTTAAAATTAAAAAGTAGGGCTTCCCTGGTGGTGCAGTGGTTGGGGGTCTGCCTGCCGATGCAGGGGACACGGGTTCGTGCCCTGGCCCGGGAGGGTCCCACGTGCCACGGAGCAGCTGGGCCTGTGAGCCATGGCGGCTGAGCCTGCGTGTCCGGAGCCTGTGCTCCGCAGCGGGAGAGGCCACAGCAGTGAGAGGCCCACGTACCGCAAAAAAAAAAAAAAAAAAAAAAAATTAAAAAGTAATAAGTTAATTAATTAATGCCTGTAATGGACTCTCACCTACTTTTCCACTAGCTAAGTTTTTAAAGGTGGATTCAAGCAATATGCTATTTGTGATTTTTTAATGTAATTTTAAAATGTGACAGACATCAGCAATCACTAGAACCTGGGTAGTAAGTTGGGAAACTTTTTCTCATAGAGTCATTAACCCCAAACTATCAAGTTGGTAGTTTGAATCTACACAGCATCTATCTGTTACTAGGGTCCTCTCCAAGAAGTACAGCATTGATTTAATTAAATGGTAGTAAAAATGTATCACAGGGTATTACTTACTTTCAGCAACTTGGTGGATAGCTTTAATACATTGTTTACTAGAGTAAGCTGCTCTTTCTTATTCGGCTTTTTTTCCATTTTAAGATATAAATTAATCTAAGGGAAGGAATAGAGATTAGGGCAAATGTCATGGAAAAGATAGATATATATATTGCATTCAACATGGCAGATTTTGAGGTCAATGTTTTCAAGTAAACTAAATTTCAAAATTCCAGTAGCTATTTCTTCAGAGCACATATGCCACCTACCCAAACCCCCATCCCTAATCAGTCACATATGGCAAAGAAAAGCTATTTAGTGAAGAAAAAATAACAATGAAGCAATTTATCAAAACAATGCAAACTTTTATATTAACTATGGCAATTAAATTGTAAACTCCTTGAGTTCAAAAACTATATCTTACTCATCTTGGTATGCCCCAAATAATCTAACATCCTCATTAAACATTCATGGAATGGAAAAAGATCGCTGCTTTTAATTTACTAATCCCTTGTTTTTCCCCTTATGGTAAGAATTCTCCACTATAATTCTAAGGCCAAAAAAAAAAAAAAATCTAATGATATTAGGTATTTTTATTTAAAACTTATGGATAAACATAAAATTAGAAACAAAAAAACCCAACTCTATACTACTCTGTATTTATAAGAAACATTTCTCAATTGTAATATCTACTCACATACTAAAGAGCAAGTATTTTCCAAACACTGAATGTATTCAGCGTTTTGACTGATAGAGAAGAAAGTCAAGAAACTTATTAAACATCCTTAAATGACAGGTACTCTAAAGATCTAATACTTGACACATAATATGAGATTTAAAGCATATGCTCCATTACCACCAACAAAAATAATTTTTATACTATGAAGTAGCACCCAATCCTGGGAGCAGGTGGGAAAGATAATATCCTCATTTTATAAAGAGGAAGCAATTACATAGTTGCAAAGTGACTTGTAAGGTGTAAGGTCATATAGCTAGAAAGTGACAGAATCGAGACTCAACCCTGAATCTTCTGCAGAAATCTTATTATACCATCTCTAACCACTGAATAAAACTGTCAAGGACCAATCAATACCTGTTCAGTAAGTAATATTGAGACATTGCTGTATTTCTTATTGGTTTCAGACCCCAGTGAGGCTAAGCGCAGTAAGAAAAGTAGTAAAGCTGATTCCCAGATCAAAAACTCCCAGTTATAAGCATCATTTAGGAAAGTTTTATGTCCCCGGAGAACCTATGAAAAGGACCAAAAAAAGTTAAGTTTTTCACTTGTCTTAAAATCTGTAATTACTCCTTTACTCTAGAACTTTAAAAACATTTACAAGATACCAATATTTTAATACTCAAAGCAGGAGACTTTTAATACTCATAAAGTATTATCTATTCAATTAGTAATTATGTATTTCTCTAAGTTTCCTAGATTTTCTTCTTTGCATGAGAGACAGCAAGGGTCTGGAAGTAACAAGGGAAGAAAACATAATAGAATAAGTGAAATAAGACAAATGTATTTCCAAACTCTTTAACCACAAGTGTGCCCACTCACAATTATATGGTGACCATTTTTCAAAGTAGGGTTGGCCAAAAAGTTCCTTTGGTTTGTAAGTAAAAATAAACAACACATTTTTCATTTTCACCGAGAACTTCATTGAACAACGTATTCACCCTTTTGTTCCACTACCTTCTGCCATTTTTCAGGCAACTTCATAATTCCATCTTCCCAAAACTCTTTTATCTTTTTGAGCAAAGAACTGTTCCAGGTGCCTTTTACAGTCTTGCAGGGAATTGAAAAATTCTTTCCATTAAGAGAATTTTGTAAAGACCTAAATAAGTGGAAATCCAAAGGTGCAATGTCTGGTGAATGTGGCAGATGAATCAGAACTTCCCAGCCAAGCTGTAACAGTTTTCGCCTGGTCATCAAAGAAGCATGTGGTCTTGTGTTATCCTGATGGAAGATTATGTGTTTTCTGTTGACTAATACTGGATGCTTTTCGTTGAGTGCTGCTTTCAGTTGGCCTAATTGGGAGCAGTATTTTTTTTTTTAAGAATTTGAATATTTTATTATTAAACTGTTTCTTATTTTCCTGCAAGGCTGTTGCTTTACTGTATAAAAATAGCACCAGCAAACACAGTATATTGCAAAATTAAGATAGTAATGTTCTTTACTGGACACTATACAACTAACAAACTTTTCTCCACTGCCATTTATTTCCAGTGGCAAGTTCATTGAGTATTTTGACCCAAATCCAGGGATGGCTGTAAGCAAGTTGCAATATTATATAAGGTTAAGATAACAATGTTATCCTTGAATTACATCATTTTTATAACTAGTTTTACCACAGATAATTTCAGGAATTCTGAGTATATTATAACTGGAGACTAGCCTAAAAATCACAGGGTGTTGTGAAAAAGATGCATGTGTTTATCTGAAATCATTAGGAAGTTAAGGGGTATTTTCTTCAGGCAACATTGTTGCAAGTAGTTTATTTTGCTAAAAGTTGCTTTTTTAAAAATCTATCCACCACTAATTTAAGACAACTATGCTAGATTAAGTTGTTTCAAACTAGTTTCTTTAGGGGTTCCATTCTCACTCCTCAATGGATTTTATGCATTTCTCATAGGCTTCTTCACTCATTAGTCCATCTAGTTCTGAAGGGTTACTGAGTGTCATCTTGATCAGCCAACCATCTTCATAACAAGATCTGTTGACAAGCCCTGGATTTTCTGCTAGAGCTTCATTAATTTCAGTTACTTCTCCTGATAGAGGAGGAGAGAGTTCACTAGCAGCTTTCACACTTTCCAAAGCACCAAATTCCTCTTGTTTGTTCAATTTTGTCCCAACTTCAGGCAGGCTACAGTAAACAACATCTCCCAAAGATTCCTGTGCAAAATGTTTGACTCCTACTGTTCCAACACCGTCTTCTGTTGTTACCCATTCGTGTTTGTGAATTTACGACCCGACAGCAGAGTGGATCCAGTGCGCAGCGCCCGGACGGTGCCCGCCCACAGTCCCCAGGGCCGCGGCAGGCAGGGCGCGTTGGGCGCAGGCTGCAGACCGCGGCCCGCACACTCCACGCCACTCACAGTGCCATGTTCGCAGGGGTGCTGGGAGCAGTACTTGTTGGAATTAATCGTTTGGTTTTCTGGAAGGAGCTCATAATAGAGGACTCCCTTCCAGTCCCACCATATACACAACATCACCTCCTTTGGATGAAGACCGGCCTTTGGTGTGGTTGGTGGTGGTTCATTTTGCTTGCCCCACGATCTCTTCCGTTCCACATTGTTGTACAGTATCCACTTTTCATCGCCCGTCACAATTTGTTTTAAAAATGGAACATTTTCGTTACGTTTAAGCAGAGAATCGCATGTGGAAATAACAGTCAAGAAGATTTTTTTTGCTTTACTTACGTGAAACCCAAACATCAAAGCGATGGACATAACCCAGCTGGTGCACATGATTTTCATTGCTCAACTTGGATATTCTGAGTATGTCGGCTATCTCCTGTGTGGTATAATGTTGATTATTCTCAATTAATGTCTCGATTTGAACACTAGCAACTCCAACTGGTCTACCCGACCACGGAGTAATGTCCAGAGAGAAATCTCCAGCACAAAACTTCAAAAACCACTTTTGACACGTTTGATCAGTCACAGCACCTTCTCCATATACTGCACGTCTTTTTTGCATTTCATTTGTGGTTTTACCTTTCTTGAAATAATAAAGCATAATATGCCGAAAATGTTGCTTTTTTTCTTCCATCTTCAATATTCCATATTGAATATGACTACACAAAAATTCACCAGTTTTGGGCTTCCCTGGTGGCGCAGTGCTTGAGAGTCCGCCTGCCGATGCAGGAGACGCGGGTTCGTGCCCCGTTTCGGGAAGATCCCACATGCCGCGGAGCGGCTGGGCCCGTGAGCCATGGCCACTGAGCCTGCGCGTCCGGAGCCTGTGCTCCGCAAATGGGAGAGGCCACAACAGTGAGAGGCCCGCATAACGCAAGGAAAAAAAAAAAAAAAAAAAAAAAAAATTCACCAGTTTTGATAAGTTTTTTTTTTTTTAATGCAGGCTGACATGACAGCTGTCACAATACAGTCTAATGAAATTGTTTCAAATGAAGTCAGACAACTAAGCACTACTAGAGCCATCTTATGAAAAAAAAACCGAACAAACTTTTTGACCAACCCAATAGTAAATTTGCATTTGACTAAAGAGCCCCCTAAAACATGCAGCCCATCCCACTGGCATGACTAGAAAATCCTGAGGATCAGATCTTTACTCCACTTTAGGATCTGAATAACAACAGCAGCAGCCACCAATTATAAAATGCCTATTATGTGTCAAGTTTTCTGGTAAAAGTTTTCATTTTTTACAAAATTTTTTTGTTGATTGAAATGTAAAGTTTACTAAAGCAAGCCCAAGGTAAAATGAGATTTATTGAAAAATATACAGAGACCCCTCACAGAAACTAAATGCGGGCCTTTGAAAATCAGAAAGTCAGCAGGTAGCTGCCCTCCCCATCTCCCTTCCACTAGGGCCATTCAGGCTCCCCCCTCCACTCCTCCCAGGCCTTGCAAGACCCTTCTTTACTGCTCCCCCCAACTCTGACTTGTTTCCAATGCTACTGGCCCCAGTGATCCCTTCTGACCTTTCTTCTGCGAAGTCCACCACTGATACCTCAGGTTTTCATTTCTAATTTGCAAAAGAGGGAATACGTTTAGTTTAGTCTGGGTCAGGTATTCACCCCAGCAAGTTACTTACAACTAAGGGGTGGGGGGGTAGGGGCGGCAGGGGTGAGGAAAGTAACAACTAATAGCAACCTAAAAGTGCTGAAAGTAACTGGCAACCTAGAAATCTCTACCCATTAAAAATATCCTTCAAACATGAAAGTGATAAAAGACATTTTCAAACAAACAAAAACTGAGAGAATTCATCACCAGCAGACTCTTCAAGCAGGCAGGAAACAATCCCAGAGAAAAACACGGAAATGCACAAACTAATGAAAAGTAATGGAAAGGATAAATATGTAGGTAAATATAAATTAATAATTAACTACAAAAAGCAATAATAATTACATCTTATGGGTTTAAGATACATGTAAAATTAAAATGAAGGACATGTGTAACACAAAAGTGAATGGGTAAAAAAAAAAAAAAAAGTGAATGAGTAAATGACATAAAGTGTTGTAAGGTCCTAGCATGGTAAATTAATTATTTTATTAGACTGTAATAAGCTAAGGATGTATGTTGTAATCTCTGGGGTCAATAGTAGTAAATATATATATATATATATATATATATATATATATATATATATATATATATAAAGTTAACAGAGAGGATTAAATGAAATATTTTAAAATATTTGATTAATAAAAGATGGCCCAAAAAAAAGAGAAAAAGGAAAATTAACAAATAAACCAAATAGGAACCAAATAGTATTTGTAGTTATAGTAATTAAGTTTAACTGGGTCAGACATTCCAAATCACTAAAACTGGGAGGCTGGATTAAGAAACAAGCAAACAGGAGCAGGATTGGAGAAAACATAATGGAGTAGAAGGACCTTGAGCTCACCTCCTCTCACAAGCACATCAAAATCACAACTAACTGCTGAACAACCATCAGTAAAACAGACTGGAAGCTACCAAAAAAAAAATATTCTACATTCAAAGACATAAAGAAGAAATCACAGTGAGATGGTAACCAGGAGGGGTGCACTCATAATATAATCAAATCCCATACAGCCTGGGTGGGTGACCCACAAACTGAGAATAATTATATCACAGAAATTCTCCCCAAGGAATGAGAGCTCTGAGCCCCACACCAGGTTCCCCAGCCTAGGGGTCTGGCACTGGGAGGAGGAGCCCCAGAGCATTTGGCTTTGAAGGCCAGGGGGGCTTGATTGTAGGAGCTCCACAGGACTGGGGCAAACAGAGACTTCACTCTTGGAGGGCACATACAAGGTCCTCGTGCACTGGGACTGAGGGCAAAAGCAGTGACTTTATAGGAGCCTGGGACAGACCTCCCTGCTGGTCTTGGAGGGTCTCCTGGGAAGGTGGGGGGCAGCTGTGGCTCTCTCTAGGATCATAAAAGCTGGTGGCTGACACACTGAGGAGTGTTCACTGATGTGAACTCTGGCTGGAGGTAGACATCTCGCTTGGGATCTTGGCACCAAGGCCTGGCCCCACCCAACGGCCTGTAGGCTCCAGTGCTGGAACGCCTCAGGCCAAACAACC